TGAACAACCGAATGACTGACCTGACTCCACGACTCAATGGCCAAGAAATCCCCTCAAAACCAAGGCAAAAGTACCTAGGTGTCCATCTGGACCGAAAGCTCCACATGCAACACCATGTCACGCAACTACGATGCCGTCTTAAAGCCCTCTATAGGAAACTAGAGTGGCTAATAGGAAACAAAAGCGTACTTTCTGTAAAATGCAAAATCACTATCTACAAGCAGATGATTGCGCCGATATGGAGATATGCTTTGCCGATCTGGGGTGCCATGATCTCCGACACACAGCTACGCCGAATAGAATCCACACAGAACTGGATTCTAAGGAAGATAGTGAAGGCCTCCTGGTGGATCAGGAATAAAGACATACGTGATACTTACGACATAGGCACAGTGGATGAAATATTTCACACTACAAGCAAAAGATTCGCCAACTCACTTGCTATTCATCCTAATGCCAATGCTCGTAAGCTAATCGCAAGTCCGTATGTCCCAATTCGTCTTGATCGGCAAAGGTATAGTCTGCAACTACAACAACATGTTCGCCCTCTACAGCAACTAGTGCAGCAATCGCAAGAACAACAACAGCTGCCAACTCTGCTTCGCATGGAGCTTGAAGAAGAAGAAGCAAACTCGCTCAGAATGCAACAGCAGCAGCAACAGCAGACTCCACAACAACAGCCAGCCAGATTTAGCGAAATGAGGATAAATTCTCTAAGAAGACACTACAGAGAGGGACGAATGTCGCTAGATGAGCTAAAACTCGCTATTAGGGAACAGCCATTGGTGATACAGCAATTAGTACTGCCTCGCGAGCTTGCTATCCAAATATACCAGCAGCAACAGCAGCTGCAACAGCAACAACAGCAGCAGCAACAGCAGCAGCAACAACAGCAGCAGCATCAGCAACAGCAACAACAGCAGCAGCAACAGCAACAACAGCAACAGCAACAACAGCAGCAGCATCAGCAAATACAGCAGCAGCAACAGCAACAACAACAACAACAGCAGCAGCAACAGCAAATACAGCAGCAGCAACAACAGCTCGAAGGACTTCAGCATCAGCCAACTCAGTCGCCTGACGTTGAAATAGTGCTAGATACAGCACAGGAGCAACAAGAACAACAACTTGAACGGCCACTTCCACAACTTCAGCAAGCCAATTTGCAACAGCAACGGCTAACAGAGGACGAGCAGCAGCTTGAGCAGCGACTTGAAAGACTCAGGCAGCAACTTGAGCGTGAGATGGACGACGCTGCAAATAACGAGCCAACTCAACAACAGCGAACACCAGAGCAGCAGCAATCAAACCAACAGCAACACACAATAGCCCAAACTGAAAATAAAAATACAAATATTAATCCAAGCAACTCAGTCTGTGCCAAAATAACAAATTTTTCTAATTCACAGAGCATAATAATAGCCCCATACAGCCTCATAAACATTGCCACAGATGCTCCTCGGCAACAAAGTCAGCTCACAACCACACAACAGCTCCACCAGCAGCACTCGAACCTTCACCAGCAGCTCCTACAGCAACAGCGGGAGGTAGTGGAGGCGCCCAGCAGCAACAACGCACAGTCAACAGTCAGGGTGGCTAAAAGAAGAAGAAGCAGTTCAACAAGCTATATTGAACCCAAAAGACGCTCACCTGCAGCTCCTGACAACCAGCAACAGCGGCAACTCCACACTCTACTCGGCAAAAGGCACTTTGTGGGACCAGCTCAACACAACTGCTGGCCTCCAAAGCGCCAGAAGCTCGTGCAACAGCAGCAACAACGTCAAGCATGCCTTCGCAGAACACGGCTGGGTACATGGCAGCTGCAAATGCCCCACAGGCTGGGAATTTGGCTCCTACTCTCCTGCTTTGGCATGCAAACACACCATAAGGTGCCCCAGAAGCTTGTGTGGGCACCTCCAGCAGAGTACAGTCAATCCTCGACGAACGGCAGACATCTCCAAATTGCCAGAAGGCGCCCGTGGCACTCCTGGCAGCGGCTCCAACGTCGATGGTCCAATTGCGGGCGGCAAACACACAGGAAGGCCAGGCCGTATAACATATTAATCCACGAGACCTGAAATAGATAAATAATAAGTAAATTTGCACCAACTAGAATTATAAATTCCAACAAATCTTTAAATTCGCCCTTCTGGCAAACTTTGTTTACACTTTAATTCAATTAATATGTTAACTCAGCTGTTCTGAAAGCAATCGAAAGCTGCCCTGATAACACTAACAGAGGTCTGTTAATAACAGAAACAGTTGAGTAATTGCTCAACTGTTCTGAACGCAATCGCAAACAACCCTGATAATGTTAACAGAGGCACTGTTAATAACAGAAATAGTACCGCCAACTGCTAAAAATTCAAATAAGCCTGCCAAGCATAATATTAAGTAATGTTAAATGTAAAAATAATTGTTAAATATTTATTTATTGTAATTCGTCACAATTTTGTTTTATGTTGTGATATGCATGTAAATTTTGTTAAATTGTTTCATACATGCCAGTAAATTGTCAGCTAGTCCGTTTCACAATTAGACCTATTTCGTTCCAATTCTGTCCCATATATTGTATTGTGAACTAGAGTTAAGCAATGAAAAGACAATAAAATGCGACTACTAG